CATCATTAATTTCATTTATAAAACACCCTGGGAAAAGCTAGCGGGTGGTACCGCCTCGGTCGACCGATCGTTGTCTACCACCGTCTTTTTGCATGTTAATAATAATAATGACTTTATTCAGAAGATGATTATAGTATGGCGAAGTTTAGCCATGGCTACTCAACCACTCGACCATACTACAACCAGACATCACAAAACATTAGCATAACAACATGAATCAGTAGCTGTAAGGAATGAATTAAAAAGGAGTAAATATATAATATGAACATATACAAAGAAAAGAAACAAAAGAACAAGATATCGTTCAGTAAAATGAATTTATCACTTAATGTGCAGAGTCCAGAAAGTGCAACTTGACTGTCTTCTTGAAGCGCTGCAAACTTAAGCTCTTAGAGATAGCTGGTAAAGAATTGTATACCTTGACCGCATTATAAGTAAAGGACCTTTCAAAGACCGACGTACGATGTATAGGAATGGAAAGTAGATCATTGTGCCGCAGATTTAGAGTAATTTAGTTTCCACGAGGAATCAACTTACAGAGCAAATAGACAGGTTTACCAATTTTAAAAATTCTATGTACCAATGAAGCCATAGAGTAGTTGTATAAGCCGTCAACTCTGAGGCATTGTACTCCTTGATTTTTGAAGAAACGCTACTGTACTTCCTAAGCCCAAATATGAATCTGCAACAGTTGTTCTGAAGCTTCTGCAATTTTGACTTGCAAGCTGAGTCTAGGCATGGGTAAATGAGGACTAGAGAGTAAGCTAAAATTGATAATATGAGGCTTTCACACAACTTTTTACGGCACTTAAAGTTTAGAATATGGCGACTAGAATATAAAAGCTTAATCTTCATATAAATCGACTTCATAATATTATTCACATGTAAGTTAAATCGAAGATTTGAATCAAATATAACACCTAGATTCTTAGCATTATCACAAAATGGAATATCTATGTCGTTGATAAATAAGGAGACTCGATTTGTGATGTTGTAATTTGAATGTCTAGGACAGTATGGTATCGCGGTGCATTTTGACGGATTGATGCGGAGACAGTGTCTATTACAATACGTTAATACGTTATCAAGATCTAGGTTAATTGTATACGATGCTTCATGTAAGTTGGATTCATTGAAACGAAATGTTAGCTGTGTATCGACAGCATACATTTGAATGCAACAATGTTCTACCCACTCATGCAGATCGAATGTGTATACTAGTAATAAAAGAGGTCCCAGTACTGAACGCTGTGGAACTCCTGATGGCAGATACCGTGCATCAGAAGTTCGTCTAGATGTTTTCACTCTTTGGGTGCGATCAGTTAGGTACGATCAGAAGAAATTCAAAGGAACTTCCGACATGCCATAATATTTTAGCTTAAGAATTTCATGATTGACCGTATCGAAAGCCTTGAAAAATCAAGCATGACCAACAGCGTGCCGGATTTGTTGTCAAGGTTGGAAAGTATCTCATCTGCAAGATGTAGTAGTGCAGTAGTCATACTGTTACCTTACGAAAACCAGATTGGTGTACTGGAAAGAAATTATTATTGGCGCTGTTCGTATAGTATCTTCTCCAAGACTTTCGACAAGAAACATAAACCACTTATAGGTCTAAGATCGGCATGTTCAGACGGATTATTACTTTTGGCTAGAGGTGTGACTATTGCCTCCTTCCAGTTGGATAGGAAAACGCCCCTCTCTAAGCAAATATTAATAATATGCGTGATGTGATCAAGTATTTCAGGCAGGCAAAAGCCTAGCATAGTTAGAGTGATGCCGTCACAACCCGCTGCTTCAGACTTGATAGACAAGACTGCATTCATAACTTCACGAGGGGTGACCAGACGAAAGTGAAATGATGACACGTTGGGATCGAAGCGTCTGTTGCTGTAGCTGTTCACAGTGGATTGTACTACTTTGAGGTTTTGATCGGCAGGCATAAAAGTACTTAAAAAGTATTCGTTGACTTCACGGGGATCTAGCAGATTAAACGGTACATCAACACGTTTCTGTTGCGAGACATTCATAGATCTAAGTGTTTTCCATGCTGATCGTGTACTAATATCACCATATCTAGAAAGGTAGGCCCTCTTCTCACTACGAAAGGAAGCAAGTGCGTAATTCCGCATATCTTTGTACGTAGACCAGTTCACATCAGATGGGTCATGACGGAAATTCAAGAGAGCTTTGTCGCGTTCCTTAAAGATTCATCTCAGGTTCGATGTTATCCATGGAGCAGCCGGTTTTGTTACACGAGCAGTTCGTAATGGCGCATTCATATCATATATTTGTATTATGCAACTAAATAGACAGCTTACTTTGTCATCAACATCCATAAAGTAAAAGATACGATCAAGTCCAGCATGAAGTAAGTCGCCCTTGAAATTAATAACATCAATATTTTTTATATCTCTAAAAGTTACTAACTTGGGTTCAAATTTAGGAAGCTTCAGAGCAACAGCACAGAAAACTAACTTGTGGTCGGACACAAGATCAGCATTAAGAACTCCTGATTTTACAACACTGTTTGAATTGCTAGAAAAAATGGGGTCTATTAGAGTTGAGCTAAACTGAGTTACACGAGTCGGTTCATTTATTAATTGATCAAAATTGAAGCTATCGAAGCAGTTGCTCAAAGGATTGTCATGATTCAAAAGGTCAACATTTATATCACCAAGAATTATTATATTATCATATTGAGGTATGAAGAAAGAAAGCATATCATCAATGATATCAATGCTATCTGTAATTGAAGTATGAGGAGGGCGATACACGACGACAATAAGTAGGGTAGAGTTGCCCATACTGAGTTTGCAGCATAGCAATTCTAAGGAAGAGTCACCTACAAAATCACCCCTCCACCCCTACCCAAACGATCTCTACGGAAAAGCTGGGAGCCTTCTATAGATACAGCTTGACTAGAAATGTTTTCATTAAGCCACGTTTCGGTAATGCATATAATATCGAATTTGTTTTGAACCAATCCACAAACACAGTCGAAAGCAGTAGTCCAGGACCACACATTGAGATGACAAATATTTAAAACTTTGTTATCAAGCCTAGCCAAAGTCAATTCTAGATTTTAGTTCAGCATATTTCTTCAAAAAACATGGACATTGTCTGTCTGATGCAGCATGATCGACTGAATATGGCTTAAAATCTCTAGAATGACTTTTCATATAATTATTATATAGTCAACGCCAAACAAAGTGGCGTGCACGTCATCAAAGTGGGTGTGTTGAAAAATTTACATTGTTGCCAAACTTTTTGTAAAATAATAAAATTTATTATTTACATATCTAGGTTTATAAACAATATTAACCTCAAACGAGAACAAAAATAATAGTATAATAAAATTATAGATCTGTACTTGCATAATCATTAAGTATGACAATTATTGATCAGATGACACTATGAAACTACCATATTTAATTGATAGCTTAAAGGTACTGAATAAAAATCCAAATGGGGTCCTCCAAATTTTATGCATGGTATTTATTTGACAGAATTCATACAGAAAAATGCATTCTAAAATTAGGTAAGCTACTGGTGTAAGCTTTTTCTGTACAATAAAGTTAGTCGGAGTTTCTTTCTTCAGCGCTGTCTGAATCTGAATCTTCATCACTCTCAAAGTTGATTATTAAAGGTTCGATGTCTGGTCGATCAAAAATTCGTTCTCTTTCATACCATTTAAAAATTTCTTGCTCAGTATGTCGAACACTATTTTTCCACATGTCTGGGGTAACCGTTTGTAGAGCCTCGTTCCACATATCCAAACAGTCTTTTTCACTTTTACCATCTCTACCAATATGTCTGTTATAGTAACCTTTTGCTATGCCCCAAATTAACTCAATAGGGTTAAATATACAATGGTAAGGAGCCAGACGAAGAACTTTGTGCCCATGTTGTTCCGCCAATTCATCAATCACGTATATTTTAGGTGGTTTGTTTCTAAAAAAGCAGTTATTTTAAGAATACGAATAAACAAAAGAAATATAAACTGTCGACCAAAATATATATAATTAAGAAGCATTATGTACCGAGCAACAATACTCAATAGCTCTGTTTTAAACATTGTGTTTAAAAATGGTATGTTTTGATTTGTCAACCAGTCTTGGATATTTTTTTTTGTCCATGCATTATTGGGCACTTTGTTCAATATCATGCTGTGATAAGGGGCGTTATCCAGTATAATTATAGATGGACTCTCCAATTTTTCTAATAACTGATGTTGAAACCATTTCAAAAAATTGTCCTGGTTCATCTCTCCATGGTAATCGCTCAATTTTGTTTTCGAAGAAAATATCGCTTCACTACCCTCAATAAACCCATTTTCATTTCCAGCATGTAATATAATGTATCTAAAATATATTAGTTTTAAATTTTATAGTGCAAATTGTGTAAAAGTACATAGGGGAGACCGGGGACAATTGTACCATTTTGCCTATATTGTTCGCATGTTCTCAAATTATAATGTCTACCAGTCAGCAAGGTATGGCTGAAAGTAACGTAACTAATAGTCTACAAAATGCGGTTTTTGTAATGCATGAAACATAATACGTTTAGAAGTTATTTAACATTTAAAAAATAATGTAAAATGGTACAATTGACCCAGCTAAGGGGGTCAATTGTAACATCAATATTTAATATATTTTAACTAGTTTTATTGATCAAATTTAAACATTACCGCAGTAACCAACTCGGCAAATATATAATTTGTACAAATACTTTGGCATAAAACATGAGCATTCGTATTGTCACAAATAAATGAGCAAATACACAAGAAAAATCTTTAAAAAACAAATATTTAACTTAAAACAATATTTTGGATTTTGTAATTCACAAATACCTATATCTAATAATAAAGGGATGTCGGCAAACAAAAACTTGAACTCTTTATTCAAGCTAAGAACAATAAAAGCTTAAAAACGGTAAACGCAAAATAAAAAAATATGAAAATCAATCTTGTTTCTTTAAGAGATACCCAACTCAGACAATTACTCTGACTCACAATTGTGACAAACATAGAACAAGTTTTGTGCTACACACTCTTCGTGTGACCACATCTTGCACTGTGTGCACTGGATCCATTTCTCGTCCTTTCTGCTATTCCCATAAGGTTCGGCGCAAACTAGGCAAAAATATTCATTTTCGTCTTCACTGCTTTCTGCCGATCCAGTTTTTTTCTTTCTAGGAACTTTATTATTTGGTCTATTTCCCTGACTGCCTAAGTTTCTTTTTACTCTCTTTTTTTCTCTTTCCTCAACTTCTTTCTCTATTTCTATTTTCTCTGGGGTGTCTGTATAAATTGCGGACTTTCTTTTTTTCCTTCCTTTCATTGTACCTTTTCTTGGTGGAGCTTTGGAAAATGGTCTAACGTTTTCTGGGGAAAATACAACTTTTACGAATTCTGACGAAGTTGGAGTGGCTTCGTCATGAACTTGTAAAAGTTTTGCAGGTGTCCTGATAAGGATCGCATCTGCTCTTCCTTCCTTTAAACGAAACGCAGACAACGGAATATTTTCGTCACTATCTGAATCAATTAAACAGGGGATACCTGTATTGACACCTTCTAGCTCAGCAGGAGGCTTGCTGTTAGCTGTTTGCTCATTATTAACAGTCAGTTCTTGGTTTTCTGATGGCTGTAAGGGTCTATCAGTAACAAATGATGGACCAAAATCTGTTTCAGAAAATATATCTCTATTGAAGGGAAAAATACCTGTACATCTAAAACCAGCCTGAATGTTACTCTGTGTTAGTGCCAGAGGAATAGCTGTTGCAGTGATCCCTGGGATATCATATATCGTCATAGGTTTCCCTGGATGATTTCGAATCCACGCATCACAACTAGAATTTATAGCTTTCTTGAGTGGCCCATATACACAGCGGTCTAGGGGCTGCAATTTATGTGAGCAATGTGGAGGGAACGAAAGCATGACGATACCATTCGTTCTACAGAAATCCAATGCTTCGATGGTGATGTGCGATGAATGGTTGTCTAGTAGTAGCAAAACTTTATGGAATTGAGATGAATTGGTATGATGTTGAAAATGCTTCAAAAATACTATGAATTCTTTTTCTTGCATCCATCCAGACCCATTACCGGCTCCAACGCAACCTTGAGGACCATCCCGAACAAAATGGTCTTGATATCTTAATCTTGGGAAAACAAACATAACTGGGATAGAGTTCCCTAGCGCATTAACGGCAACAGTCAGCGTAACCAGAGTGCCACGTTCTGCCGATGTGATAGCACCAACTTGCTTAGTTCCAGTTTTAGCTACAATTCTGTTTGGCTTCTGGACTGTAGTAATCCCGGTCTCATCGGCGTTATAAATATCTTTCGCTTCAAACTTTTCACGGTCCATAACTTTGGCCAGATTATAGAAGAAAGCGGCAACATTGGTAGGATTAAAGCTAGTAGCCCTTGAGAGACTTGTTGCCTGTGGTGTTCTTATAGATAAATCTTTATGCCTGCACATGAAACCAGAAAACCAGTCTTCACCGGCTAAGCCACTTTCAGTCCATTTTTCGGGCATTTTTAAATTATATTTTGTTGCTAATTGCAGTGCCAATTTTCTTATATCCTTGGGCGACAAACCTTGATAAATATCTGCTGCTTTCTTGATATATTTAACCATTTCGTTTTCTTGTTCATTTGAAAAAACACGATTAGCGGGCTTGTATCCCATACTAACTTTTGTAATGCAATCGACTGAGTTTTCTCTTTTCTTCTTATAACGTAATAGGGACACATGGCACAGACCAAATTGGGCTGCAGCTGCTCGAATTGACGTTCCAGACAGTACCACATCATATGCAGATTCATATAAAGATAGATCACGTGAGGCTCTTTCCGTTTTATTAATCCTTTTCCGTGGCATCTAAAATAAAAAGAAAACCCTCTTCGAAACAAATACAAATCAGGGGTCAATTGTAGCGGTACAATCGTCCCCTGACGATTTGTTACAATTGACCCCAACTGTCTTTTTAAAACAAAAATGGATTTTTCTGTAATATGCACTGCTGTGTTTTTTGTGTAACTCTTACAGAAAGTAGTTAACACTACCCATAATCTAATTGAGAAAAAACATCAGGCATATTATGCAGTAAAAAAGAACTACGAACATTTGAAAAAAAAAAATAAAAACTTACTTCTGACGTGCGGAAACGAACAAATACACTTAAGATACAAATGCTCTCAGCGATGGCCGCCGGCACACTGAAATCAGAACCGCAGTTGTTTGGTGACGCGCGCATCCGAGCGAAGTTTATATAGCGGTCTCACTCTAGGGCATATTTGAAATGTTACAATTGACCCCTGGTACAACTGTCCCCGGTCTACCCTACCTTTTACCATCTGTTTTAATAGCTTTCACGCTTTTTTGGTTTCCATTTTGCCAAGAGCGACCTATGGTCCCATTTTGAAATATCCAAGTTTTATCGAGGAAGACAAACTGGTATAAGGCCTCAACCTTGGCTTGATTGTATTGCCTTAGAAATTCCACCCTTTTCAAAGCTATACTTGGTAGTTCCATGAGCCCTCGTCGCGGATTGTCCTTAAGCCACTTAAATCCAAGATCTCTAAGCAACCGCCTTAAAGACGTGGCACTACCATCAAATAATGCCCTATCTCTTAATCGAGACCATAAAGTTTGTATCGTAACTTGTTCTTCTGAAACCATGTGTAATATGACATTATAATTTAGTTAACAAATTAATGCAAATTTCTGATAAGTTATTATAATAAGATCTTACTTTTGTGATACATATTATAGATCACTTCTCGAATGGCACTTGTATCCAATGTCGCTGTGTTGGTTACACGTTTAATATAACTCCGCTTTTTCTTGGGCGATTCTAAATTTGCATCACTTTTCACACCCTCGGAAATACGACTAACTGTCCTTAAACTAATTTTTAAAGCAGCAGCAACACGCTACAAAAAATGAAATAAAATTTCACTATTATTAATATACATTACATATAATTATTAGTAACCTACCTCTTTAACAGCATTTAAAGGCAACAAAGGCCCGTTGTTGTCCCTTTCTTGCTCAAAGTAGTGCATTAACGAGGCCACAAGTTCCTTACACCGACTATTTAACTGTTTGGGCATCTTTATATACCAAAATTGCCTTTATCTACTCCTAAAATGAATAATTTTGTTTTGAAACAAACAGTTGTTGATTTACAGTATGCGGGGCCAAAGGATTTATAAAGATTTGAAATGCCACAAATTGATTCAGTGTCAAAATTAATACAAATGTCAGTTCCCAGTTTAAATAAGTTTCAAGGTGACAATGTGTCAACGCTGCGAAATCGGTTTAGTGCGTTTACATGTCGATAAGTGATTGGAGCGTTTGCAAAACATTTTATTTCGCATAATGCGTCTAAATTTATCAGAAAGCAACTTATGTGATATTTTAATAACAATGTTTATATGACTATTAACCATAATAAGAGAGTAATGACCATTTTAGAATTTATATATCACATTAATATGAAACTGCAATAGAGCAATTGTTTGTGATAGAAACCTAGGCATTAGGTCGGGGAATTTTTATCGTGATGACGTGCACGCCACTTTGTTTGGCGTTGACTATATACACCGCAATTCACACATTTCTTACTAACAGAGTTACAATCTTTCTCATCATGGTCATTAGAACATAGCGAGCACACAGACTTATTTTTGCAATTTTTTTTCAAATGACCGAATCGAGAGCAGCTAAAGCACCTAATTACTGAAATAGTTAGTGGCCCGTTGGTAGACTTGTACCGCCACCCGGAAATGGGTACTGAGGTAATTCCTTAAATTCCTTAACGTATGTACAATCATATACTGGATACAACTTCCGGAACAAGCATTTGCTACGGCCCGCTCAGTAGGGTCTCACTATTAACTGGCAAGTAATATTCAGTATAAGGAAGTGGACTTGACGAAGGACGCGGCTTGCACCGCACACCTCGATTCAGACTTGGAAGCACACCCAAATACGTTGAAGGTTGCAAGTCGTTCGATAATGAAAACCGATTCTGAAATCGGGCGAGTAATCTTAGTAGTTACGGCAAATCGATAAGTATTGTAGATTTCGCGCAAAGTGGTGGTTACGTCATGGCATAAGTGAAAAGATGGACCATGAGAATCAAAGAATATGAACGTAAAAGTTCTTGGACCATTGCACAAATTCATCAATTTATTGTCATTGGTTAGTATATTGAAAATCATCTTCACTGATCTTTTTCACTTTTTTTCGACACAGTTAAATAATAGAAAAAACTTTACCCTATTTAAATCTAAACAAATACTGATGTCTGAGCATACAGTTCAAGTGCTCATGTTTTGACGCTTGGGTGAGATTTGAATGGAGTTTGGAGGTTGAAATGATTGGTATAGTCAGGTCTTCTCAGAAATAGTGACGTAAGAACTAATCTGTTAGCGCTAGCGGGTGCCCGACCCACGATCTTGCCACACAGAGGTGGGAAGGGAACATTTGGAAAACGGTTTGAAATGTGTAGTTGGACTGATGTATTAGCAGAAGAAATTAATATTACGGCAAAGTGAATTGGAACTATTTCCAATCGAGGACAATGCTGGAAAATATATTTGCTAAAAGTTGCATTTTATGTGAGAATCATAATACCGCATAATTCATATATATCTGGCGCCAGCATTACTTATTCAACATAAATTAATTTGATTAGGTATTCGGCTCCAAAAATAAATTGCCTATCTGAGACATCTACAGCTTGGTGTATATGTATCTATCCGTTCATGCCTTGTTACCATAATATGATGTCAAAACAATTTACATAATATTTACGCGAAATTCTCAAACACTAATTTTTTCATTTTCCTAAAGCTAGCTATGCTCAAAAATAGATTTCTAGGTGGTAGATAATTTATTGTATATAGAAAAAAGTAAATAGCTCTTGCATGTATTTCCCAATCTTAATTGTTATATTTTAGAAATTGCTTGGGACATAGTAGACAAAAAATTGTTACGAAGCTTACATGACGAAAATTACCGGTGTGAAGTTTGCAGACAAAATTTAGCGGACAATTTGCCGAAGATACCCGAATGACCAGTGGCGTCGACATCCTCGACCAGACTGTGATTGTGAAGGATACAGCTAACAGCTCGCAACAATAAATATAGAGGGTGACTTTGAAGTTGAGTCATTAATTTTCAGATAATGATTGTAGAAGGAAGATAAACCAGAATATGTGTGTAAAAATAAAAAAAAATAAAAAAAAAATTTTACCTTGTTTTATAAAGTATCCTCCCGACAAGTATTTCAGTGCGAACCTGTATTTGATCGTGAGGTCCCCTGTGAGGTCTTAAGTCACCTGATTCACGAGCCCGTTGTACTACATTAACAAAGGCACGAGGGGTTGGTTGCACTCGATTGGGAAACCGATCCGCATAAACATGTGCCATTTTTTATTTCGTTTGAGCCACGCAACAGACACTATTCACACGCTAACCGACTGACACTGACTGTATGTATATCTGAACTGAATAAAATAATTTATTGTAAAAACATCGTTCCAAATTCTTTAGCCTTTTTGTTTCCGATGCGATGAACCGGTAAGGCGGATTATATCCGTTGTTGCCAAACACGAGCACATGATATTATTATTGAGACAGGGCGGTACTCAAACTTCCAAAGGGCTATAACTTTGTTACTTTAATTTTACCAGAAAAATGGTAAAGGAAAAAACATTTCTTTTGATCAGATCTACTCACTGTTAAAATAAATGACTCAACTTCGAAGTCACCCTGTATATGCACGAGAATAAGCACCCCTATAGGAAGAATCATTTTCCACCCTAATTAAATAATTCGCAGGAACAAGAGTTAACCCAAAACCTTTCTTCAAATTTTCACTTACCGCTTACTGTATTGAAAGTAGTTAATGAGCTAAATAGCATATACTGAGAAGATCTCTAAAGGGGTGCTAGATGAAAAAATATAAATAAAACTTCATTTTCACCCCCAAAAAAATGATTCCCCAAAATGATTTATATCTCAAAAAAATACTCTATTACAGAGACAATTCATGGGCTAGGTGGGATGGTGTGAGAAAGCTTCTGAAAGGCTGGCAGATAAAAAAAATATGCTAAAAAATTCATTTTCACCCCCAAGGAAATGATTCCCCAAAATCAGTTGTACCTCAAAAAAATACTCTATTATAGAGACTATTTATAGGCTGGGTGGCATGGTGTGAGAAAGCTTCTGAATGGCTGGCAGATAAAAAATATGCTAAAAAATTCATTTTCACCCCCAAGGAAATGATTCCCCAAAATCAGTTGTACCTCAAAAAAATACTCCATTATAGAGACAATTTATAGGCTAGGTGGCATGGTGTGAGAAAGCTTCTGAAAGGCTGGCAGATAAAAAATATGCTAAAAAAAATTCATTTTCACCCCCAAGGAAATGATTCCCCAAAATCAGTTGTACCTCAAAAAAATACTCTATTATAGAGAATGTTTATAGGCTAGGTGGCATGGTGTGAGAAAGCTTCTGAAAGGCTGGCAGATAAAAAAATATTCTAGAAAATTCATTTTCACCCCCAAAGAAATGATTCCCCAAAATCAGTTGTACCTCAAATAAATACTCTATTATAGAGACAATTTATAGGCTGAGTGGCATGGTGTGAGAAAGCTTTCGCAGAAAGTGGCGTACGGTAGAGCGGAATGGGCCACTCCACATAATTCGATAGTTTAGTTAAGTATTGATATTGAGATGTAATTTATGATAACTAGTTAAGTGTAGACAGCAGCGGTGGCCGCAGTGGTAGCCTCTACGGTGTCCTGATCAGTCGCCATGCGCTGCGCGGGTTCGAATCCCGTACCAAGATAGATTTTTTTCTTGGC